CCATCGAGAAGAGAAAACCCTTCTCTCTAGACCCAGGGCCAGGAAGGAAACTTACTTCCAGTTTCAGCTGCTTCTTGGAGCCCGGGCAGGACTCGCTCAGCTTCTCCATCCTCTTCTCATCTCCACTGGCCAGCCCGTCGGTCTTCTCGGGGGGCAGGGCCACTGTGGGGAAGGCAAGGGAGGATGCGTGAGGCTTCGTGCTGGGGCCCCTCCCTGCCCCCCTGCCCACCTGCTGGAGTCAAAGCTGCTTTGCCCTCCAGGGCTGTCCAGCTGCTCCAGGGGGGCCCCTTCCAGGGCACACCCATGCTCTGCCCATGGGGGACACGCTGCTATCATGACCTGCAACATCCTTTATTCACCCCCCTCACCCCCCCACACACACACCGCTCCAGAGGGCGGGGTGGGGGCTGCAGAGAAGAAAAAGGAAAGGAAGAAAGAGAAACAGAGGCCAGCTCCATCTTCAAAGCCGCTGCCTCCCTGCGCGGAGGTCCTGGCTGGAGATGTAAGCTGGCCAGGCTTATCGGAACCAAACTTCAAGTTCAAAGGGAAGTTATCAGAAAACCACCTTCAGGTTCAATGTTGCCTTTCAAGTTCCACTTGATAAAACCCAAAGAAAAGAAACCTCTGTCCCGCTCTCTCCTCTGAGCCCCCTCCTCCCCTCCGAGCAGAAACAGCCTGTCCTCCCTCAGGTCCTCCCCTGCCTCTCCTCCTCTCCCCTCTCCCGGGAGGGCGACATCCCTCCCACCCCTCCCCCGCTGCGCGTCTTCTCTGCAGATCAGGGTGGCCTGGCTTGTCCTCCCTTCACCAGCAGGGCCTCATCCCATCCTGGCTCAGAAAACCACCCAGACACCCCTGGAGGGGGTCCTTCCCAGCAGGGGCCGGGCACACAAGGGTAGGAGGACTGGGAGCCATCCTGCCCTGGGGCCCTGGGGGCCAGGAACAAGGACAGTCGGCGCCCCCTTGCCCCACCAAAGATGGCCTTTCACCCTCTCACTGCCCCCTACCCAATGGCTAGAGGAGGCAGGTGTCACAGAACCCACCGATCAAAGCCTTGCAGACCCCAAGGCCAGGGTCAGGGCGGGACTCAGGGGTCATGCTTCTACTTCCACATGGACCCTCTGGAACCAAACGAGGCCAAACCAGCACCGCCCCCAGCCATCCCCATGCAGAACAAATCGCCCTCCACCCACCTACCCACCCATCTATCCATCCATCCATCCTTCATCTATATCTAGCCATCCATCCACTCATCCACCATCCATCCACCCACCCACCATCCATCATCCATTCTTCATCTGTATCTAGCCATCCATCCACTCATCCACCCACCCATCTATCCATCATCCATCCTTCATCTATATCTAGCCATCCATCCACTCATCCACCATCCATCTATCCATCATCCATCCTTCATCTATCATCCATCCATCCATCTACCCACCATCTATCCATCCATCCATCCATCCTTCATCTATATCTAGCCATCCATCCACTCATTCATCCATCCATCCACTCATCCACCCACCATCCATCATCCATTCTTCATCTATATCTAGCCATCCATACACTCATCCATCCATCCATCCACCCACCATACATCATCCATCCTTCATCTATAGCCATCCATCCACCATCGATCGATCCATCCATCCATCCATCCACCATCCATCCTTCCATCCACCATCCATCCATTCACCATCCATGCATCCACCATCCATCACTGGGCTCATGGGCGGCCTGGAGGAGGGAGAATGGTGCCTACCACAGACCGCCAGGGTCCAACCTCCGTGAACAAAACTATCATGGACATGGGCTTTGGCACCACGTTCTGAGTCCATTCTCTGTCTCTTACTCCTTCCTGTGCAGCTCAGGGACTTGTTTCCCAGAGATGATCTCTGATCGATCCATCCATCCATCCATCCACCATCCATCCTTCCATCCACCATCCATCCATTCACCATCCATGCATCCACCATCCATCACTGGGCTCATGGGCGGCCTGGAGGAGGGAGAATGGTGCCTACCACAGACCGCCAGGGTCCAACCTCTGTGAACAAAACTATCATGGACATGGGCTTTGGCACCAGGTTCTGAGCCCATTCTCTGTCTCTTACTCTTTCTTGTGCAGCTCAGGGACTTGTTTCCCAGAGATGATCTCTTGGGGGCATCATTTCAGGGGGACTCTGATCACGCTTCAATTGCAAGGCACAGCCGCAACAGGAGATACTGCTCATGGGAAAGAGGAGGAAGTAGGAGGGGAAGGAAGGAAAGGGACAGAGCAGGAGAAAAGCAAAGCCTGTCTTGCCTCTGGATTCCCCTGGGTGACGGAGCGCAGGACTGGCAAACCACGCCCCCATGAGCCAAAACCTGCCGCCTCCTGTTTGCATAAATAAAGTTTTATTGGGACACAGTTGCTGGGACACACACTGTGTATGGCTGCTTCCCTCCACAATGGCAGAGTTCAGTAGTTGCCACAGAGACGGTCGGGTCCACGCAGCCAAAAACGCGTACCCTCCCGGCCCTTTACAGAGAAGTCTGTGACCCGCGCTGCAGGCGAACGCAGCCTTCACCTGCACCGGGTACCCGGATCCACCTGCTGCTCGCCTGCTCCACTGGGAGCCCTGGTGCACGCACCACCTGCCCAGCCATGCACGGCAGCCATGGACAGAAATGTCCGGGCTGCCTCCTTCAGACCCGTCCTCAGCTCAGAGGAGTCTGGTGCAATGGGTGGGCCTCCTTTTCTTTTTCTAAATATTTTAAATATGTTTTTATTGACTTCAGAGAGAGGAAGGGAGAGGGGGAGAGAGAGAGAAACATCAATGATGAGAGAGAAGCATCATGGATCGCTGCCTCCTGCACGCCCCCTACTGGGGATCCAGCCCGCAACCTGGGCCTGTGCCCTGACCGGGAATCGAACCGTGACCTCCTGGTTCCTAGGTCGACGCTCACCCACTGAGCCACGCCGGCCTTCTCTTCTGAATCGGCTCCCCGTCCCTCCTCACTCGGTCCCTCCTCACTCCCCGGCCGCGAGGAGCGGAGCGGAGCCGCTGTGTTTAGCAGATGATGCTTCCCCACACTCCCTCCTGCAGCCTGGCGTCGCTCTACCCCCGGCAACTGCCAGATTAAATGCGTTACTTGACCATCCTCACCCGCTCCCTTTGATGTTCCCTTCTCAGGCTTCAGAATACCTTTTGGAGGGAGATCAGACAGCATTAAACAGAATTACTAATTAATTAAGCAAAGTTAAATTTTAAACACTGTTTGTTGTGTTAGCCAAAAGCCTGAACAGAACAGACTTTTTTCCTCCACGGAGATCAAAGACAGCCACTTCC